AGAGTCACCAGTGTGAGTTAGGTCTGTTATAGTTAGGAAAACACATACCTACCACTTGTCTCAGAGAGTCACAAGTGTGAGTTAGGTCTGTTATAGTTAGGAAAACACCTACCTACCACTTGTCTCAGAGAGTCACTAGTGTGAGTTGGGTCTGTTATACTTAGGAAAACACATACCTACCACTTGTCTCAGAGAGTCACCAGTGTGAGTTAGGTCTATTATAGTTAAGACAACACGTACTTAACATTTATATTAGATAGTCACCAGTGTGAATAAGTTGTATCATAGTTAGGACAACACGTACTTAACATTTATATTAGACAGTCACCAGTGTGAGTTAGGTCGATTATAGTTAGGACAAAACGTACCTACCATTTATGGAAGAAAGTCTTTTATTGATTTATTTAGTGAACAGCATCCAGATACAAGGCATTTCACTTGACAAAGTATATTAAAATCTCTTCTATCAAGTGTTAGCAAGCCCAGAATTGAACCAAGCTATCGCTCTGCTCACTCTAGTCCAAATATAGCTTTAGTCTTGATTGAATTTAAAAAGGGGTAAGGCATGTGAAAGGAGTGTTGCATAGAGGATGAACAATGGCCCACGATATTTTATATATTTGTTCATCTAAATTAGTCGATTGCGTTAAAGCAGAGCCTACAACAACAGTTAAACACCTATTGGACCATAATTCTGACTGCAGTGCCAATTACGATACTTGGAAAAAACAGAACCCTGTGGGCGTTTTCCAAATCACAATCCAGTTACACAGCTTAATGGCATATATAATGGCCTTAACAATGACATATGACAAACAGATTTTTAATAGCAAACATGCCTCAAAACCCGATTTTTCTTTTTCAACAAATTTGCACATAAATAGCAAAAAGGTTTAGTTATCATTTGAGTACCCTCAAATTTTCATCCTTAACTATTTTTCGATAACTATTGTTTCATCAAATAAATATTGTGTTTGTGAATTACTGGATATGACAAGATTTTGGAACTTCTTTTTGTTTACCCCGTAATATCGAAGCACTAAGAGTACATGATCAAATTGTACAATAAAAATAAACTATCAAGTGTAGGATTAATCGCTCTCCAGTTCTGACATAATTTTATACATTAGACCTAGATGTGCATGTTACAATTTGTGACCAATCAAACAACAAAATGACCGATAGAAGTTTCCTTCTATTTCCTAATAATCGTTTGAATATATTTTATGAAAGAGTATCATACTGATATAAAAAATTTTTTTTAAAGCAGCCCTATACTAAATCAAACAAATTCTATTGTCCCACTCACCAGTAGCATACATAGTCAACTTTGAATTTCTACATATTAATTGATTTTCTTTGTAGACATTATATGTAAATTAAACTTGAACAGGAAAACTATTTACAAAAAACGACATCTTTTAAAATTTTAAATCTTAACGAACCAACGCAGCTTTATTCTTCATCCATCATCTGCATTCAAAAACACAAAATACAGACATATCAGTTTTGTTTTTTGTTATTTGCATTCAACATGATTGGGATGACGAGAACTTTTGATTATCACCAAATGTGATATTTCATGAGGTTACCCGGTGTCACGAAGACGAAGACCTGAACATCATAGCTTTATGACCAGGCTCTCAGCTAGTATCAATATCGCAAAGTAATATCATTATCCTGACACAACTATCAATCTTGATACAATTGAAAAGTTGATTTAATGCTATACTTTAAGAAGAAATGAACATATCATGTTGTACCTTTGTTAAACAGTCGTTATTGTTATTGCTGTTACAATTTGTTAACTTTTCAATAGAAAATTATATCTCTTATGTAGATAAAAATAATTTCTGTATACCTCTAAAATGGAAAACACGTGTATTGAGATTGAATGCACTTCCCAGTTAAAGTACTTCAAAGTAGGTAATGGCGTTCATCCTTTTATCGTTCAGCCAATGAAAATGACGACGATGTCTGCGATGCAAAATGTAATGATGAAGGCGGAAACGATGACACAACTCCGTCAGATAATAAATGTCTTAGTGTAGATGACTCTTTCTATGCCTCGGCGTCACATCGAAAGTTTATATATTGCGGTCAGTTCGAAAAGATTCATGCTACTAATGTCGATTGTCCAGATATATCCATATACAAGGAATATCAACTCAGATTGCATTGATACTGTTTCGATAATGCTTTTTTTATTCACAAATCAACTGTAAGCAAAATATTCCAAATCATGTGTAAGTTTCAGGAACAAACTTGACCACATCATTTGTCACACGAACAAGCTCTAAGCTACAATATTGTTCTTACACAGACATTTTTGGTAACAACGTGACCCTCGTCCTTGATGATATTTGCATCTCTATTGGTAAAAGTGATGATCAAACTCTACAGAAATAACCTAACATTTCCTAATAGATATATATTAGACACTGATGGTCCCTTTTAAGATAAAAATAATGCAAAAATATCAGACAAGATATTAAAGTATGTTGATAACTTGAAGGTCCTTTTGATTGATGATAATCACATAATAGATGATCGTGGTTTCTGAGATGTTTTGAGTACAGTGGCAGATTCTGGATATAAGCATTCCTTGCCTTCATTTTTAAAGCCCGGAGAAAATCAACACGACAGTGCAACAACAAACGCTGACAGACGTATCACTAAAACATGATGGGTTGTTGAATCACACAATTCTAGGATCAAACAGTTAAGACTTTTCAAATCTGAGTTGAATTCCCTGTGTTAGATTATGAATAGATGGAGACAACTACATGTGGTACCAACCAAATTAAGCAAGCACCAAACTATCTTTACAAACACCTGAGTGAAGCAGGAGCTCGTGAAATCATGGTTCATCGACAATTCACTGACCTTATACGGTGCATAAACGACATAAACCAAAACAAAATACAATATATGTATACAAAATTGCATGACAGCAGGTCAGAGGTACGAAATGACCACAATCTTCAGAATTTCAAACAAAACAGATAATGCATAATAAATTTCGATCCTTTATATGCTACGATATCCACAACTGGGCATATGCATCCTTTCTTCTTTAATAACGGTAGTAAACTGCTGATGGACTTAACTCGGGCTGCGTTGGCCTAGTAGTTAAGGTGTGTTTTACGTATTCACCGCAAATGCACTACACCTCTTTAGAATTGTCAATGATGTTAGAAAATTGTTCATAATCTGGTGAAAATATACCTTTGTCCCTTCAACCTTAATGATTAAAAAAAACTATCTCTCCAATCCCCACAGTCATTTGCCATGCAGTCATAATGGAAGGATATAAAAAGTTATGTGAATTAGACCAATCAGAAGTCAGCATTTGGCTGCCATTTTGTTTTCTTTTTTTTGTTTTGTTTCATAATGAGCACAGTCATTCTATTATCCCTTTCTGTATATTTCTTCTCAATAGATGGAATAGAAAGAAAGTTATTGGTGAATATGAATATGGCCGCCATGCAACAACTCCTTTAACATGGTTTGGTGCTTTATTGCGATATAGGGTTTGTTCCCGTATCACTATGGATAGCAGCATATCTCTTGAGTTCATTACGTGTATTTAGTTTGTCTTTCCACCTTATATAATAAAATTCATATAAAAATATATTAGAATTCCATGAACACTTAACACTACCTAAACAATTATTTCCGCATCTCCACCTCTCTCCCGATATAAAATATTCCAATCAGTATGTATTTATATCATTTTTGCCGGCGAAAAAGGGTGAAATATCTAATTGATAAAAGTGTTATTTCATATTGGATTATCACATATACCATCAGAGTTATATAAAAGCTCTATATATGCATGTTACGTAAAGTATTCAGGAATAAAAATCTTACAGTTGTCATCAAGGTGTGATTCTTTGCTATTGGCCGCTTCCGTCGGACGCCCTGGTAAAATGTGCTAATGTCTATTTTGATAACTCTTAAAATTTTTGCGAAATGTATTTGATTCATTGCGGAAACTTCTCTTATTTTACTTATAATTCGAATACGATTCGAACTCGGAACATCTAAGTTGGCCTTCACTAACCATAACAACATGTGAGTTCTCATCCTAGCATGCAATACTTAAACTTGATGAGAATTTCAGTACTGATTTAAGTTATACTGAAATGGTTTTATCGGCAAAGTTTGTTTCGCTACAGGAGAAAAAACCTTTATTCTGTTTTTCGGTGTCGTTTGACCATAAAGATGTATTTTAAATTTTCGTGTCAGTTGCTATAGTTATTAGTTATTGGTGTGTATCTTGGTAATTTTCTTCCAGGTTACAGAGTACTTAGGAATCGTAGTGTCGCGCTTAGACAATAATAAGGTTAATGTAATAATACTCAGACAATATATATGATATCGATGTAAAACTGAACGAAAGTTGTCAAAATCATTAATTTTACCTCTGTCTAATATACTTGGTCCTTTTAACTGTCAAATGTTTGGTTAATTTTCTGTAACATTTTTGTCCTTATTTACTGTTACAATTTAATTTACTTTTATGTTATGTTACATATTTTGTCAATGTTAATTGCTGACTTTTGGTCCATGTTTGTTGTTTCATTTTGTAGTCCATGTTTACGGTTATGTTACCTTTTTGGTCCATGTTTATTGTTGCATATTTGGTCCGTCGAATGGATGGTTACATTTTTGGTCTGTGTTACTGTTACATTTTTATGTGTGTTTACTGTCCATGTTTACTGTTATATGAGATATTTTGTCTATATTTACTTTCACATTTTTATTCTATGTGTAATGTTACATTTTGTTGTCCATGTTTACTGTTATGTTTCATTTTTTATCCATGTTTATTGTTGAATTTTCGACCCATGTCCTAGTCTTACCACTGCAGATTAATTCCGTGTTTCATATTAACCACGCTGAATTTTTTCAACAATTTAATTGTAACCAAACACCAATCCTTGCTGGATATTTTATTGCTAATGTTGCAAAACATAGTGATTCTATAGTACATCCTAGCCACCTCCGGGTTGACCGGTGGCTCCTGTTGCTCCTGCCGGGCCCGTTGCACCTGTTGCTCCTGCCGGGCCCGTTGCACCCGTTGGTCCTGTTGATCCTGTTGGTCCTGTTGGTCCCGTTGGTCCCGTTGGTCCTGTTGGTCCTGTTGGGCCTGTTGGTCCTGTTGGGCCTGTTGGGCCTGTTGGTCCTGTTGGTCCGGTTGCGCCTGTCGCTCCAGTAGCTCCGGTCGCGCCTGTTGCTCCAGTAGCTCCGGTCATGCCTGTCACTCCAGTAACTCCGCTTACTCCAGTTGGTCCTGGTGGACCTTCAAAGACATCTGCTTTCATGAGAATCAATCCCAAAGCTAAAATAAAAAGAAGTGTAACTAGACTGTTTATAACTGTATTATTTTATTGATTACACAAGTTAAACGTGATGAGGATTCATATCCATTTGGTAATCTTTTCAGTCATTCGAAAATTCATGCCCAAATCCTTAATATATCTATTTAAAGAAATGTGGATATACAATGTAGCTCCTTATAAAACTGAAGTAAATCGACAAAAAATATTTGATTGTTTTACATTTAAATGAATTGTATCTAATTTTCTCAATACATCTAACGCTCAACTTGTGACGTCTTTGTGACTGTGTATGTTTGCATATTGTCGACTAGTCTTGACAGAACACGATTGATTACATGTATATACAGAGATCACACAACGTGTGGTTGTTGGATACGGCGTTAAATTCACTCGAGTTAGTCATTTTTTTTAAAAAAATTACAATAGACACGAGCTTTAGCGAGTATCTTTTGTAACTTTTAGAAAATAACTAACGAGTTATACGTTTCAGTTTCTTTTGTTTAGACCGGATAACATCCATAACATTCACCTCAAACCTATCCAGTTCAGCCATGTTGACAGCAGACGATATTAAACAAATCGCACGTGCAACAAATCACGCGAGTGAAAAAAGTAGTTCGGGTCAAAGTTCACCATGTATCCGGAAGGCCATATACCACTAGTAAAATATCACTTATATTTATCCAACACCCGCCATATTTATACAATGGCCTGAGAGTGGAATAAATTAAAGTAGAATAGTAGAAACATAGATATACATAGTATGTAAAACTAACCACAATTTACTGAAATAAAAAGAAAGTATTCGGTTCAAAATGATTACATTTGCTTGACGTACTGTCGGTATTATCTGATATTGAGAGGTATTGAATTTTGAGGCTTGTATTTATCCCTCAAGAATAGTTTTGAAGTTCCTTCGTCGCCTTTTAAGTTTGAAGATTATAGTCTCTTATCACCACTGACGAGCCCAAAAGGACGAAATAGCTGTATGATGAGTCCTAGAGGGGCTAAATAACGGTTTGATGCAGTGTAATTAATTATTTTGCTGTACTTTATCTGATTCTGAACAGAATAACAGGTGCTAATGACTTGTGTGTTTTAGTACAATCTGTACGGTATGTAAACAGTATCATCATTTAGTATTGACACATTGATAGACAGGAGCAACATCAAATGAACAGTAGATAAGAATAATTGTATGTATACATTATATACATTTATCATTTATCGCTCCTGTTCATTTCCGATTTTTAGTATGTTAAAGAACAAAGGTAATTACAGTGGAATGATGGCGAAATCGCCGTTTATGTTTATATAGGTATTTAAAAGAAAAAGGGGGTGTTAATGATTAGTGTTTTTTTTATTTTTAAACGTCAAAGCCTTTAAACATTAACAATACCTTGCTGCCGTCATATAGACTATGGCATTACATAAGATGTGAAATGTAATTATATATGATTAGTAATGATAACTTGGATTAGTATGTATCAAAGATTCAAATCAGTAAAGGTATAAAACAAAACTCTCACAAGAGAGAGAGTGAGAGAGAGAGAGAGATATCATGCATATCATTATCAAATGCATTACCAGTAATATTCGTAAAAAAGTTTTTACAAAACAAAGACTTATTCAATTTCATATCTACCTACTTTTCAAAATTCTCATGGGGAGAATAGTGCGTCAACAAAATAAATTAACGGATGTTAAATCAATTCATCTAGATATCTTTTAATTGAGAAAGTGCATTCTTTACTAACTATAACAATGAAAATATATCTGCTTTTTTCGTAAGATTCAAGTTGGAACTTTTTCATCAAAATTCTCAGTATTCATTTAACTCACACAATATAACATATATTAAGATTGGTGATTATCTGCTTGGTTGTAAGTGAAGATATGTATTTCTAAATATGATGTTCCTGAAAGAAATTGTTTAATAGAAATAAGGAAAAAAATGAATCGTCTCATGAAATTTTAAGCTGTCGTTTTGTCAAAATGTTTAAATCTAGAGGTAAGGTTCCATGATATTTGAATTTTTGCATTTACTTATATATATATAAAGACAATACAAATCCAGAAACTGGTCCGGATCCGTTCCTATTTTACATAAGTGTAGCTACTTCCTGTTTAACCATTGTCAGATTTTTGTTGAGAACCAAACATCAGTGATCGGATTTTTTACTCACGATGTCGTTTTTTAAGGATTGATGTTGTAAGTAGTCAGACAGGATTAACTTGAATTTGGTGACACTAATAAGATACTTGGGTACTATACTCACCTAGCCGGGCCTTGATTATGTGGCCAGGTGGTCAGCCTTAACGATTTGACAAACATAACAAGGTTACTTATGACCTACCTGGCCGATCTCTGAAATCCAGAGATTACCCTAATTTTGATCCAAACGATCGGGAGGCGGGGATAGGGATTGATAATAGGCAAGCTCCCGACTAAATCGGGAAAGTTGGCAGGTATCAAATATTTGAACATTAGGAGTAGACAAATTTTACATACACGATTTAGACTAAATAGTCCTTGAGCTGACCATAATCCTAGTTTCATCCCCTAGATGGAAGTTTGAAAAAATATGATTTTCTGAAAGCTTATTGAAAATGCTACAAGACAATCCGTGTTTACCATCTGGCCGTTATTTTGATTCTTAGTCAAAACAGAAAAACGATAAAGCAATTTTGACAGTGTGGAAAGGTAACCTTATTTAAAGCCCCTTGATATTGTTGACATATCAGCCATGTTATGAACTCATGAATGTTGAATTTATTGTTGTATTAACAATAAACGATAAAAAAGTGCCTTCAGTATCAAGCATAATTAATCAGTAATTTAATTTAAATTTAATGTTTAAAATTTCATTTTTTTATCGTTCTATGCATGGTCGTATCAACCATCTTGAAAACAACGACAACATTCTATGGATTCTAGTTTACTCTTTTCTAAATAAACACCTGGTATTGATTTCATTAAATTAACAGGCAAAATTATTTCTCCGCAAAGAAATGTCATAGTCTATAGGCTATAATAAACACAGATAAAGGAAAACTTACAATGTACATTAACAAAAAGCTATATATATATATATCAAAATGTCAAAAGAAATTGTCAAATCCACCGTATAAAACATATTATCATCATTATACAAGGAAATAACAACACAGTTTCAACAAATTCAGAATTGGAAGACGAAAGAATTTTTTTCTTTAACAAAGTACATCAAAAACATTACTACATATCATCATAATAATGCTAAAATGCCAAATAATGATTATAATGTCCATGCTATGAAACATACAATGAAAAAGTGGACAATTTATGAAAATTAAACAATGGAAATTCCCTTTACATGGCATTATTTTATTATTATTATTAATTTAACAAACAATACTATTAAAGATTTTGATGTTATGTCCAGTAACGATGAAACATGCTTGGTATATAATCCGTTCACCAATTGGTTTGAAAAAAAAAACTAATGTGCACTCGATACACAGGATGTCTAGTAGGGCCGACATTTCTAACACTTTGCAGCAACATATTTTGATTGATAATGTTTGGTGATACTAGTGATATCTTTGATCTGATGCATCAGTCGAAATAGACATCATTGGTTTAACATAAGTATCCCTGCTATTGTCTCTGCATAGAACTACCATTTTCTTGATGTGTGATGTCAGAGCTGAAATTAGCAAGAATTGGGAAACTACTGATAATGAAGTGATTATAAACAGGTTATTGAAGAAGAGAAAGGTAAATAACTGGATTTCTGTCGAATTTCAATGTTTTCAATGACGGTTTGCTATCCTGGCACTGAGTATCTACAATATCTCTTAATTTGTTTGCTGATATACATCATGTTTATGTAGACAGCATGTATATGTTTTAATATGGAATCTGAAATAATATCTTGAGGTTCATACAGATGTATGTATATCTTTGATATAGATAAAATGACTTGGACAATTTTATTGTTAAAACACAATAAACTAAAGTAGGTCAATTAAGAACCATATGAACATAGGGATTAAAGGTTCTTGGAGTACGAGTTGATCCAAATAATGAAATGAGTGTTATCATATTATATAAAGTTATCAACATTATACATTGCAGACCAGGATTGGCGGTTTTAAAGGACTTCCACAATATAATCCATTAAATACCGCTCATACAACAGTACCATTATGTAGAACAAAACCAAATACATTTTTAGTTAGTAATATATTCAAAAATTATCAAAAAAGTGTACCTGAGGAGTACATGAGTACATTGCAAGATCGAAAATATATTGATAACATGTAGCATTTGACATTCCTTTATAAGGAAACAACAAACATTCTAGTTCATGACGTAGCATTTTAAATAAAATGGAGGCGAAGAACAGAGGACACATACGCGTTGGAATCCAAAATCAAACATTGCGACAATAAACATTCGCTGTCGATTCCTTATTTTACATCAACGCTGCCATCTCGTAACGCGAGCCAGGAAGCAATGAATTTCCCAAAATGGTGGTTTTGAACTAAAGAGAAATTTCTTTGAAAGTAAAAGAATAAAATTATTTTTTCATGAAGTAAACTGACTAAAAGCAAGAGATAGATCGAAAGTAATCGACATATTAGATAAGGGAGTTGATCAGTTTAGCATTATTGTTTAGAAGGTTTGCAACAGTGACTCTTTCTAACGTTAAAACATCACATACGATCAATATGGCAATGAAAGAGGGCAACGGACTTAGGGATTCAGCATTAAATAACGTCTATATCAGCAAGTAAATTCCGTACAGTGTCCCTATGTGGTCAAATCATCTAATTTATTCTCGATGTGTTCAGATCAGTTGTACTTTAGTCAATGTCGCTTCACTTAAAATGCGGTTTATCATGTAAATACTTAAAACTTAAAACATTGCAGAAGAAGCAGTGTATCAAAATTTATTTTGAAGAACTGTTCAGTCCTTCTCTTTCATTTCTTTTTCATGAGAACCAGTAGCACTGGGTGTATGCTAGTGTTTTCTCATCGTGTATTACTACTACACTGTGATTATGGTAAAGCTGTGATGCCAAATCAAATGTTTTCACCAATCCTGACAGACATACTGAATTTGAATATATATTTTTGTGTATACATTTTTTTAAACGTCATCCAAAGTCTCGTGTCGACGGAAACAATTTGTCATGGGGATAACGCATCCGATTTTGTATGACTGAAGGTCACAATTAGATATATTTTGAATCAAATATCACATGATGTTAATGAAATGGTTGAGTTATAGAAATAACATGAAGAAAATAAATGATAAACGAAAGGCTTCAAGCACCTGGTTCAGATAGAAAGTAATCTGTATAATTACCTATACACGCCACGATGATGCCGGTGCTTGGAAACGGTCTCTGATATACAATACCGCTATCATACGGTACGATATTGTACTGATATCCATAGTTCGGCATGATTTGTATAATAAATGGTACCTGTATAACAAATGCAATAATATTAACAATGATTAAGATCAGTTGAAATATGTTTTTCCATTGTCATAAAGTAAA